CGTAAGTTTTCTGCTGTGTGATATTCCATTGTGGGACTAGACCAGAATGTATTCTCCAGTCTATGGTCGTTGGTGTGTTTTTCCAGATTTTTGCCACTGAGAACATCATGTAGGCATCTGATGGTTGGAGCTGGGGAAGAGTTCCCCCGGGGCAGAATCGCTGGGTCAGTGGACACTCAGGACAGGGCTGAATTGCTGCCTAACATGTGGTCATGGGGACAGACATTGTCTCTGCTCACCCACCTCACTGGTGAGGGCAATAAAGGTCAGGGTGCTTTGAGATAGGAGCAGTGCACACAAGGGACTTTACCACCAGATTGTGCCCAAAGGAGATAAATGTCACCTTGGATTGAACCTATCAGCAAAGCTATCAGGAATTTATTGCCCGAGGGGAGCAAGCCAGGAGACACCCATGTCCCTGGGAACAGGGAGCAGATATACTAAGAAAGATATTACTAGAACCTACGATAAGTGGAAAGATACGTAACAGGGAGTCAAATGAGCTGGGCAGTAAAGACGGATGGGGGTACAGGGTGTGATTCTGAACTGTGACCACATCGACCATCCGAGCTCATGTTCTCTAACATGTGCTGAGAATCAGACGACTAGCAGGAAGCCATCTCCCTGAGGACAAGTGGGAAAACAAATCCGTGGCTGCCCAGTCGACTCCTGGCGACCCCACGTGATAGATGGTAGAACTGTTTCAGAGGGTTTCCTTGGCTGTCATCTTTCTAGAAGCAGACTGCCAGGCCTTTCTTTCACAGCAGTGCTGGGTGGGTTTGAACCGCCAACCTTCAGGTAAGTTATTGAGTACAAACTGCTTATGCCACCCAGGGACCTCCCAGGACAAGAACACCCACTTGAATCATTCAAGCTGCATATATACATCAGATATCAGCTATAGCCAAAGAGCCGAACTGGAAGGAGATAAGTACAGCATCTTCCTTGCTCTCAAAGTCTCATTAACTAATTAAAAAACAAAAACAAAAAACCACCCTTGCCATAGAGTCCATTCTGACTTGTAGGACAAAGCAGGATGGCCCCATAGGGTTTCTTAGGCTACAATCTCTACGGAAGCATACGCCACCGCTTTCTCTCTCAGAGCAGCTGGTGGGTGTGAACTGCTGATTTCTGAGTTAGCAGCCAAGCACTTTAACCACCACATCACCAGGCCTCCTCTCAGTAACTATAAAACCCCCCTGTTTTTATAGAGGATTCCTACTCATAGCAACCTTGTAGTAGCTAATAAAAAACAAACAAAAACCAAAACCCACTGCCGTCAAGTTGATTCTGACTCATAGAGACCCCGAATGGCTTTACAAGGTAGTAAATCCTTACAGAAACAGACTACCTCATCTTTTTTCCATGGAGTAGCTAGTGGGTTTGAACTACCGATCTTTCCATTAGCAGCCAAATACCTTAATCCCTACATGACCAGAGCTCCTTCCTCAGTGACCTCTCCTTGGGTTTCTGAGGCGGTATCTCTACGGAAGGAGATTGCCCAGTCTTCCTTCTGAGGAGTGGCTGGTGGGTTTGAATCATCAGCCTTCTGCTTAGCAGTCAAAATGCCTTGGGCACTACACTACCACAGCTCCCTCCTCAGCTAATAGGGAATGTATAATACAAGGACAGTGGTGTGAATCCAAATGTAACTAGCACCGTAAGACAGAAATTGTTGTTGATGGTGTTAGCTGTTGTTGAGTCAACTCCAACCCTTGGCAACCCCGGGTGCAACGGAACGAAACACTGCTGGGTTCTGTGCCATCTTCATGGTCGCTGGTCTGCTCAAGTGCAAGGTTGTGGCCCCTGTGTATTTTAAGTGCTGTGGTAGTTATATTTGTGTGTCAACTTGGCTGGGCCTGGTTGAGCGGCTGGGCAGCTAGATGTAGTATTCCCGTGATGAGACTGGTAATCAACTCCATGGTGGAATCTACTGTGAGCAGCTGAGTAGCTGCCTTTGGGATGTTGTTTTGTTCCTGTATTTAAGCAGAAACCTTGGGAATGGTCTCTAGCCTATGGCACGCTTGGACCCTGCATGTAGCCATGTCATCGCTCAGCAGCCTGCTATGGTCTGGCGACCTTGGGACTTACAATGGACTTAAGTTAATGGCCTGCCGTGTGGTTTGGTAACATCGGGACTGTGCCTTTTTACTTGTCAACCTTGGGGCTTCTCAGCCTCAGCAGCCAGCAGCTGTCTGAGTGAAGGAATGCCTCTAGCTCCAGTGGGCTGGGAGCAGGAGGCAGAGCTGGACCCCAAGGTTGAGGGGCTTTCACCCAGTCCCTAGAGCCTGGCACTTTGAACTTGGACTTAAAGCCTCCAAACTGTAAGAATAAACTCCTGCTTGTTAAGGCCGTCCCATTTGTGGTATATTCCTGTCGGAGCGGCACTGGGAACCGGAACAAGGACCTTTCACCTAAGGGCTCATCTTCCGCCACCACATCACACAATGGTCTGCTGGGTCCATAGGTTTTCACTGGCTGATTTTTGGAAGCCCATCACCAGGTCTACCGGAAGGAACATCAGTGAGACTTTCTGGAGTGACGCCTTTGCTTCTCAACACTTTAAAGCGGTCTTTTGCAGCAGATCTGCCCAATGCACTACGACGTCTGATGTCCTGACTGCTGCTTCCATGGGCGTTGATTGTGGATCCAAGTGAAATGAAATCCCTGACAACTTCCATCTTTTCTCCATGTATCATGATGCTGTTTATTGCTCCAGTTATGAGGATTTTTGTTTTCTTTATATTGAGGTGTACCCCATACTGAAGGTTGTAGTCTTTGATCTTCATCAGAAAGCGCTTCAAGTCACCCTCACTTTCAGCAAGCAAGGTTGTGTCATCAGTGTATCGCAGGTTGTTAATGAGTCTTCCTCCCATCCTGATGCCACATTCTCCTTCGTATAGTGCAGCTTCTCAGATTATTTGCTCAGCGTACAGATTGAATCAGTGTGGGGAAAGGTGCAACCCTGACGCACCCCCTTCCTGATTCTAAACCATGCAGTGTCACCCTGCTCTGTTTGAACAATAGCCTCTTGGTCTCTGGACTGGTTCCATATAAGCACAATTAAGTGTTCTGGAATTCCCATTCTTCAAAATGTTATCCAAAATTTGTTATGATTCACAGTCAAATGCCTTTGCATAGTCAATAAAACACAGCAAACATTTTTGTGGTATTCTCTGCTTTCAGCCAAGATCTATCTGACATCAGCAATGATATCCCTTGTCCCACGTACTCTCCTGAATCTGGCATGAATTTCAGAGTCTCTTCTGACATTCATTTTGGTCTTTTCTGTCTCTCTTGTCTTTTTAATGACTTTTTGCGTTCCTGATTATAACTCAATTAAAAAAAAAAAACCCAACTATACATACATATCTAGAAATAAAATGAGGGAGAGCTTACTGAGCAGAACAGACCAAAAATAAAAAACCAAACTCACTGTCGGATCCGACTCACAGCAACCCCTCCTTGGGTTTCTGAGGCAGCATCACTAGGGAAGTAGACTGACCAACCTTCCTTCCGAGGAGTGGCCGGTGGGTTTGAACAAGTGAGGTGGAAACACCCAAAGCTGTTACAGGGCATTGTCCTAAATTTTGGTTGGAGTGTTTGTGGGTGGAGCCGAAAAAACCCAGACCCACAAAAGTCAAGAAGGAGGCAAGTGAGGCGCAGTTTTAATCTGGGTGAGCTATGGTTACATCTTTGAGTTATTCAAAACACCCTCACATTTTTCAATTATGTATATACTTTTTTGCTGTGTATCTATTGTTTTCATTGTAACTCTGGTGCCTACCACAGTAACATACCAGTTGCCCTGGAGTCAATTCTGACTCACAGTGACCCAACATGTGTCAGAGTAGAACAGTGCTCCATAGGGTTTTCAGTCACTGATTTTATGGAAGTAGATGGCCTGGCCTTTCTTCTGAGGCACTACTGGGTGGATCCAACCTCCAGTCTTTCACTGAGCACATGGGCACTTAAACCCTTCGCAGCACCTACGACCTCCTCCAGCACCTGGGCCCATAAAAGGCATTGTAATCTAACCGTTAAAACAAGGACTGAGGATTGGCTTACGGGGAAGTGGACCAGACAGGGTCCGGGAGACCAGAGGACCCTCCATTGGGCCAGAGGAGAGCGCGGACTGAGTCCTTTCCTCCTATGTGGTTCCCAAATGGGCATCCAACTGAAATGTACATAGATGCTAAAAGATATGAACAAAACAAAGCGTCATGGTGAGTTTTCCCGGAAGCCAACCTTTTTCCATTTAAATTACTGTCCTTTATTCTGTGCCACGTGTTCCCTCCTTCTTTGGTGTTAAAATGACCTTTGTCTTACGTAAGAATGGGGATAATTGACATAGGTGGCGGTGGGGTGTGCGTGTACACGTTCTAACTTTGCAACCAGAATAAATCAAGCGTGGGTCAGTCTTCCGTACTGTGTGCAATGTTTCCGGCTCTTGTAACTCCAGGCTGAGTGATTGGGCTCCTCCCCTGCCCACCTTGTTCCAAACGCTTCCCCACTAATCCGCATCCCTCAACCCTACCTCCCCCTCGACCTTCTCCGGGTGCCCTCGCCCGGCGTCGCCGGCACAGGCGCACTCGCACGTCGGGAGGCGCACGAGTGCGCAAGCTCCCACCAGTCTCCGGCCCTTCCTCCTTCAAGGAGGCGGCCTGCGGCTGGTGCGCACGCGCCGCTTCAGGGGGCGGGTACCGGCGCAGCCCGCTCTCGCGAGAGGCCTGCGCGATTCTGCTGTCCTCCTCCTCTTGTTCGGCCTCCCCGGCTCGGCTGCAGCGTCAGCCTCGTTCGGGCCTCGGCAGCGGCGCCTGTGGCAGCACTTTCACCTCAGTCCCGGAGC